TCTTGTGTGCCTTAATTGAAGCTGTTGCCTCTTTGATTTCCATGCTATCCTTGTCCTAATTGCTTATCCTTAATTGAATTTGTTGTATCTCTTCGTAATTGCTCAACCCTAAATGAAGTTTAGTTACCCCTTATCGTAGTTGCCTTACCCTTATTTGGAATCATTTGTTACATATAATTTCTCCCTTGCTGAGCAGTACTTATTGAGACTAGTATTCCCTATTGTGTTTATTCTTTGTGAGCTTGTTCTACATTTTCTTTGTGTTTGAAAGCTCTTGAGTTGATTTACTTGTCGTATTCCCGTGTATTGTTGTTATTGTTGCTGTTGTACTCAGTTTATTGAGCCGAGGTCTATTATGATGTTGTGATCTTGGCACGTGATATTGTTGGGAGATTTTGTCGGGTGTTTGCACGAGGTTTCTGTCATGCTATTGTTACTATTGATATTTGCACATGCAGCCTGACAAGGTGGGCTATATATGTGGGTTTGCGGATGTGGCGAGATGTGGTGGGAATATTATTATGCGTGTGCGGCGAGACTAGGCGGGCATTTGCTTTATTATTGCGCACGTGGCAAGATAATGTGGGCTATGCCGGGGATTGATTTGTGATGACTTATGATGGCCTGGGGGCATTATCGTTGTTGATATTTGTATAGTGACGTGCCTACCCTGTATGAGTTATTCCGTGTACATTTCGTGCTGATCGTTTCTTATGTGTCATTCATTGTTTCTACTCCTACTAGTTGGCCTGAACTGTGATAGAACACTTGCACAAGCATACATGTAGTTAACCACCCCTAACGGTTTAAGAGATGGATCTTGCTGTTATTGATTGTTCATACACACCGTTGTCTACTTGCCTTCTATGTGAGAATGATTTTATTGGCACGCGAGTCGTCTGTGCAGTTACCAGTTGTAATGAGGGCACAAGATGCCAAGTGTTTAGGGTTCACGAATTGGGACCTGTGAGTTATGACTATTTTGGAGGTATGGTACCTCATGGAGATTATTGGATAAACCCGGTGTGAAAGCGGTTATTCTTATCTAGTTGCTACTTGTCTTTCCTTTATTTGTTTTTCACCGGATTTTAACTGTGTTTAGCTTACTCTACTGTGTTATTACTAATTGTGTTCCGCTGCTAATTGTTGCTTTTATATCTTATTGCAAGCACCATATTATTATTGTCATTATGCATAGTTATGTTGAGATATCGTACTCGGTTAGTTCTCCACTTATACTTGTCCAGGTTATCTAGTCCAGTAAGTGTCTTGACTGTTCCTCGTCACTACTCCACCGAGGTTAGTCTTGATACTTACTGGGTATCGTTGTGGTTTACTCATACTACGCTCTACCTATTTTTGTGCAGATCCAGGCTTTTCGAAGTCAGTCGATTGCTAGCTAGCCATACAGATCTTGCTGTGGAGACTCAAGGTAAACCTGCTACTGCATTCGCAGGCTTCAGAGTCACCTTCTGATATTGTACTTGAACTGTTTTATCTTTACTTCAAAACAGTTGCATTTTTAGGCTTTCTAGCGAACTCAGTAGAGCTTATGACTTGTACTGCCTGTTTTGGGATTGTAAGACTTGTTTAGAGATTTCTATTTCGCATTTTGTCAATCGTCATTTAAATATGGTTATTATTTTAGTAAACGTTAGGCTTACCTAGTCCCTAAGACTAGGTGCCATCACGACATCCTACAGGGGGAAATTTGGGTCATGACAGTAATCCTATTACTTTAAGGATATACTTCTTAAAAATTCCTATTACTAATTTAATTTAAAAACGTATTATAATGTCCTATTACTAATTTAACTTGAGAGTGTATTATATTGTCCAAACCCATTTAGAAAAATGAGAGCCTGTATTATTTTAAAAGCATAAATACAATATTAATATACTAAAATAGCCCTAAAATATTAAATGAAAGAACTCATAGGGAAAGGGCATAACTGCAATAACTTATTTTTTGGATGACAACACCTTCTATACTAATTTTTAATATTTAATATTTAAAAATAATAAAATTTGTCTATTAAATTCTTATTAAAAATATGTAAAAAGTTTAATAAAATCGGTTTCATCAGAATCCTCTGTATTGGCAATACATTATCACTCCATAATGTCGAATACCAAAAAAAATTAAAAGTAATAATAAATGGACTGCATAAAGAGTTAAAATTGAGAAAAAAGTACCCCACGATAATATATTTTTATATTATATTTGAATTATTTTCCTACTCAAATAATAGTTTTTTATTAATTTTTCGTGTAATATTTAAAAAATACCCAATTATTAAATAACAACTAAGAAAATATTTAAGAATATAAATGTGTGAGAAAGAGAAAAAAATAGTTGGTAAGAGTCAATACCACTAATGATTCTACATACATAATGATCTAAAAATAAAATGTCATATCAATCTTTTACTCTTTGAAAATAAAATTTATGGTGGATAAAATTATAATTAAGGTTAAATATCCAAAACAAGAGATGAACTAATATTGAGATATGAATCAATATAGAGTAAATTATTTTTATGTTAAAATCAAATAATTAAATGTTTTAATTAATTATTTAGCAAGAGAATCCAATTCAATTATTTTTTAAATTTATCATGTGAGTAAAATTCTTATCAAGTTAAGAAAAATCTTAGGATACATAAATTTATTCCATAAAAAGAGAGTTAGAACACAAAGTAAAAAGGTTAATACATTATTAAGAATCAAAGTGTTATACAAGTGTTTGAGGAAGCACAATCAAAGCTAAATTCAAAATAAGAACAAGCTTTCAAGACTATATTATAAAAAGTCGACTCTGCTATAACGGAATTATTCTTTGTGGATGCCTCCGACAGAATTGAAATAATATTTCTATTTCATGCATTGCTTGCAAATATCATATCAAGAGGCATGACATTGTTAGCAATAATAGTAAGTGGTGTACCAACAACGATTTTGTTGTAAGGCCACCCACTTTAGATTTGATATACCTTTTCAAACAATTTAAATAACCATCACAAATATATCAAAGCAGAATAATGATGCTAAATTTATAAGGAAAACAAAATTGATAATATGGGACGAAGCACTTATACCTAAGTGTCAAACGGAGTTCTAGAGATATACTGCATATTAATGAACCATTTGGTGAAAAATTAATGGTTTGGGAGGTAATTTATGTCAAGTACTACCAGTAGTTCCAAAATCGACAAAAGCAGAGAGTATAAAAGTTAGCTTACCAAAGTTATACTTCTGGCAACAACAACAACAACAACCCAGTAAAATCCCACTAGTGGGATCTGGGGAGGGTGGTGCGTACGAAAGCCTTACCCCTACCCCGAAGGAGTAGAGAGGCTGTTTCCGAAAAGACCCTATACTTCTGGCCTCAAATGAAAAAGATTCAAATGACAAGAAATATAAAGTAAGAACTGATCCAGTATTCAGGGTCTTCTTCGTGCCGGGAATGAGTAAGAGCATCCAACAAAAGATGATTTGGTTCTTCCTGAACACTTGGTTATCAATCCCAATGGGTAGTAGTGCAATTAATAAGAGAAATATTTCTATCATTAAATTAAAACACAATTTGTGCAAACCGCATGATAAAATTAAAAAGATATCTTAGCTAACAGAAATGAATATGTTGATCAACTAACTAAAAGATTGATTACAAATTTTTATAGTAAAAATAAAATATTTTTCTGTTTTTGACTCAGCAAAAAATGATACCAGTATTTACTACTAAGAAGAATACCTAAATACATTAATACCAAACGACCTTCTACCATACATGTTTGTTGTTAAGTTTATTATTTCTTTCGTATGTTAGTGTCACCGTATATAAAATAGACTAAGTTGATCTTCCATTGTATATAGGTTGATTTTGAAGAAAAATATGCCCATCATGCTATTGAAAAACTTAAATACACTGAATAGCTTTTGTAATAGCACATAGATGGTATATAGAAGTTTTGACATAACGTCATACATGCAAAATTTATGATATTGGTCAGTGTGCTTCTAAGTATATTCTTATCCCCGAATTCAACTTTCCTCTTCCGGAACTAAGGAATATCCTTTTAAATTTGTGTGAAAATAATTTTTAATATGTTTATATTTTGCAAATATAATAAATGAAGCACATGAAAAACATCCTAAATATTGGACTATATTTACCGCAATATGTTTTCTTGCACGAACAACTGTATGTTGCACTTTCAAGATTGATATCAAGATCGACAACAATAGTTCTGGTTAAGGCGGAGCAACCAAAGCATTGGGAGAAAACATACACAAATAAATATTGTGCACAAAGAAGTGTTCGTTAAGATACCATCACATTAAATACTTTTAAACTATAATACATAATTATCTAACTAACATGACAAAATTGATCATTTGTGTAAGTTTTGATGATGTCCTTTTATTTTAAATTCATGTATTATGCTAATGTAATAATATTTTTCGGTATTTAGATGATTGTTGTATTATTATACATAAAATTTCTTTTATTAATTAAATTTTATTGTTTCTTCATATAAATAAATATTTAAATCATCACGTGTCATTATTAACGTGCAACGCACGTTCATAGATACTAGTTGTAATAAAAGTTAGTATACTTTGTGGGCGTTTGGACATAAGAGTTGTAAAATTTGGGAAAAAGTGAATTTTTTTTCAAGTAAAATGATATTTGAAAATTAAAGTTGTGTTTGAACATGAATATATTTTTGGAATGTTTTTGAATTTTTGTAAGATCTGAAGTGAAATTTCGAAAAATAGCTTTTGGGAATTTTTTAAAATTTTGAAAAATTCTGAAATTCATCTTCAATTGATAATCGAAAATTTCATGGCCAAACACTAATAGTAGAAATAATTTCAAAAAAAAGAATCTTTTATTTTTATTTTTTTATTTTTTTTTATGGTCAAACGGGCCTAAATTTTGGCGATCTGAGTAGTAGCTATAGAAGATTAAGGGCGACTTTTATTAGGTCGCCTCTAATAGTGCAAGAGAAAGATTGAATTTTTCATTCCCGCTAACAACAAAGTTTGACTCCATCATTTTATCGCAACTTAAAAATCTGACTCCAAAGTTGTATGGGTTCTTTTCTTTGCTCGTTTCTCTCCAGAAATTTCCCCACTCCATTTTCCTCTCTGCTCAAATCTCTCAGATCTATCCGTTCAAATCACAAATTAAGACCCATCTGTTATCGACCCAAATGCCCTAATCTGAAATTGTGACTCGATCAGTTATGTGCTTGAATCTCAAGTTCAAATCCTTTTTTCAGTCGTGAATGATGATTTCAACAATTTTACATTTGATTTCGCAGGATTTGCGCAAGTCTTGGCTAGGGTAAGTCGATTTCACTTCTGCCATATTGCTTGGCTGCTTCTGAACAATGAAACACAGTAAGCAACTACGTGGCTTGCTTCCTAGGTCGAAGCCACTTTTCCCCGTTGGAGCTGGAAAAAAAAATCTTTCATATGATAGAACAATGAATTATCCTAAATATTTACAAGTGATTTCTTTTTATCTGATAATTAATTCAGGTTGATACCCAAGCATAAATGCCTCTAACATGTTATTCCTTAATCTGCTTTGTAATATACATAGTGATTGAATTTTGAGTTTATGTAGTACGATTGGTATTAGGTGTTGTTGTGCTGTATACGTCAGTGACTTCTTTGTTATTTGGAGGTATCTTGGATTGAGGTGAGGTGGAGAGAGTTGGCGATGTTAGACAGTGTGCATAAAAATGGAGTATCTTAGGGCCTGTTTTTGCATTGCGTCATAAAGATGGGTGAATAATCTTTTAACAAACAACTCAGGACCGTTAAACGTCGCTACAATATTTTAAGTTATTCGAATGAAAGAGAACTGTATTAACTTTCGAAAGGTAGAAAGAACTGTAGAATAATAAACAGACCTATATGAGATGCTTATTTAATATCTTAAGATGGTGAATGTAAAGCCTAAATGAATCTAGAGAAACTAGCATAAGTTTCAACTTTGCTTTACTCACCAGATTCCTGCTGAGTTATAGTTGGATAATGGAGGGCAAGTTAGTAAATACTAGTACTTAATGTTGCTTTTTCTGCAAACAGGTGAATTTTGCTTTTAGGGCAAATTGGTTGCTTCCATACCGGTGCTACTGTTGCATTCATGTGCTTAATAATTTGTTCAGTTGCAAGACTGTAAAGTGGAAGAAATAATAAATAGAGTTATAGGTTGAAAAGGGGGAGCACTATCCTATTTTTCTTGATAATTCACATTGCTCTAGCACAAGGGATCATCTCTGCGATTTCAGAAGAAGCAATCACCCAGTTTGAAGCATTTACGGAGCAAGGTAACTCTACTCTATTGATCTTTGCTTTAACAACAATGACTTATTGTTTTGCTGCTTCCTGACATTCACTTTTGGAAATTCTGAGCAGTTGATGAAGCACTCAACACTACTTTTCAGGTTTGCATTTGTACCTTTTTCTATTTTCTTTTATATTACTTTACAGTTTCTTTACTTTCTTGTCATGCTCTGTATGATTTTATTTAAAGTAATTTATCCTAAATTCTTCTTTTTTTTGGGCAATGGTGAAAGCACCGAAGCATGGGGGGAACCATGTCGTTATTTGAATCAAGGAACACAAGAAGAAGTTAAATAGGTAGGCATTTAAACGAATTAAAAGATGAAAATGGTGAAACTAAAAGAGAACTTCTGAACATATGCTACCACTCAATATATCCCTATTCGACACACACAAATCAAAGTGGCAATTGGTACTAAAAAGTGTTGACATAACTTGTAGTTCTCAACGTTTTAAACATATGGGTAACTAAAAAAAATTAAGAACCGTGATCCAAGATGTTGCAGTTCGTTACTTATTTCAAGTTTATCGTCTCCAACTAAATGCTTGATTCTGAAACACATATCACCCATACCTTACACAAACATACTTCTCACAATCACATCCCTCATAGGAACAATCCCATTAAGGTGGAAACAGTGGCAAATCGCATACATAGACTAAACGATGACCTTATTAAAATCCATACTAGGAATGGCAACAAGAGGAGCAACCTTCCTCACGTTAACTCCAAACTGTTCCTCCATGTTCAATTTCTCTGGTGAGATCCCATCTGGTAGCTTCCAACTAAATGGTTGAATAATAGAAGCCAACATCAAATTCACCATCCTTATAGCAAGTGGCATTCCGGGACAAATTCTCCGGCCAGCGCCAAACGGTATAAATTCAAAGTTCCTATCTTTGTAATCCACACTTGATTTGATGAATCTTTCAGGCATAAACTCCAGTGGCTTTTCCCAGGACTTTGGGTCTCTTCCAATGGCCCAAGCATTCACGATTACTTGAGTGTTCTTGGGCACAGTGTAGCCCAATACATCTATGTCATTTCGAGCTTTATGTGGTAAGAGTAATGAAACTGTTGGGTGAAGTCTCATGGTTTCTTTTACAACTGCTTGGAGGTATGGAAGTTTCTCAATGTCTGATTCCTTTACTGGCCTTTCTATGCCTATTTGTTGAAGAATTTCTTCTCTTATTTTCTGTAACTCATGAGGATTTCGAAGGAGTTCTGCCATTACCCATTCTGTTGTTATAGCAGATGTGTCACTTCCAGCCATTAATAATTCCTGTCATCAATTGTCGTGCCACACACATGCAAGAACCTATTAGCTTCATATATATTCTGTTTAACACATACATAGGAGTAATATATGTTACTAACTTCTTTAATTTAATTAAGAAGATTAAATAAATAAATAAAACCTTGGTACGTTGAAAATATTTGTTTTTACAAGAGGTTTCTACTTGACAACCCGTTGAGTTAGGGATCGTCATAAAAACTGTCCAAGTACAAATGGATAAAATTCACAAGTAGTCACTTTTGAGCTCTTTAATAAAAAAATCAGTCTTCAAATTGCAGGTGAAATTGAAACTCCATGACAATAGCTATTTTTCAATTACAGGGCTGAAAAGTGGCTAGCCGTGCTATTTCTATGTAGTAGATACCTAAATATTTGGGGAGAATTTTAAAAAAGTTACTTGTCGTCATGGACGAGCTTGTAAAGCCTAGAATTTTTTTCTATTTTAAACAAGCCTAAATGGTTAATTTACATAGCATTGAAGTACGTGTGGGATCACATAAGGATAACAGGGGCATTAAGATACTTGGATATAATTATAGCACAAGTTGAATGTCTCCAAGCTAAGTGGCCAACTTAAGAAAAGTTGACTTAGTTAAAGTTGGAATAAGTCATTGAAACCGTGGCCTCAAACGTAGACAGGGTTGTCCATCTGTAGCCATGCTTTCACAAGAGACCAAGGAAGGGATCAAGAAAGCAATTATGAAACCATGGCGTGAACCGCGGGCACAGTTCAAGCGTGGCCCTTTACAAAGAGAAGAGGAAGAGGAAGGCCTAAAGGCCTGAAGATCAAGAGTCCACCGTGGAGCCAACGGTTCTTTTTCACTTAAGTATAAGGCGGAACTCAAAATTCATATTTAAAAAGGAAAAAGAAAAAGAAGAAGCATTACCACCATAAGAGGCTTGATTGTTATGCCAAATCTGGACGCATCTTCTTCACAATGATCAAGAAGTACATCCAACAAATCGCCTTTCTTTTTCATCCCTGAGGTTCTAGCTTCTACTCTCTTCTCAATTATTTCGTCAAACATCTCATGCAACCTTAAATATGCTGGCTCTATACGATGCTTCACTCCTTGCAAATCTAGCTGCTTTAGAACCGGAAAATAATCAGATAAGTTAGGTACCCCAGAACCCTCCATGACTGTCCAAATCAATTCCTTGAACTCGTTAGCCGTCTTGAATTCTGGATCCACCATATCTGTCGAGAAAATGGTGTTTGATATTGAATTCAACGTCGTCGCAAAGGCAACACGTCCTATGTCAACAACTGCACCAGTTTGACACTGTTTCCTTATATGATTTACTAGTTGTGCAGCCTTTTGGTGACGAAGTTCTTGGAGAGAATCGAGTCTGTGGTTACTGAACATCTGTGTGCTAAGGAATCTTCTCTTTTTCTTCCACAAGTGATCACCGTTGACCCATGCCACTGTCGCTTCTGGGTTTGGCTGGGCGGCGACAGCAATGGGAACAGTGCGTGCTGAGAAAGTTTCGTCGTGTTTATGGAGGATTTCTTTGGTTGTTTCAGGTGAGGACGCTACTATGGTAGTGACTGAACCAAGTTTTAGAGTCATGAGAGGGCCGTGGATTTTGGCAAGCTCGGCTAGTGATTGGTTGGGTCTTGAGCCTAGCTCTAGTAGTGAACCGATTATGGGGAGACCAGGGGGACCAGGTGGTAGATTTCTGGATTTTGAATGGATATAAGATTTGAGAAAGAACCAGCAGAAAAGTGAGACGCAGAAGAGAAGGATATTATGAAGTTCCATTTTTGTATCTTGAGGAGAGATGCAAAGATATATAACTCCTTATATAGACTTGCTAAAATCAGCTCCATCTTATGAAAATGAAGCATGGAAAATGCTACTAGCTATATTACAATTTTATATTGTAACTCCTTTTACCATTTTGCTGTTTTACTTATTATTTTTCATAACATTGTACTTTTTCTTTTAATCATGTGTGTTTTTCAGTCTAACAAATCCTGAAAACAGACAATTAAAACGTCATACCTTGTACATTTCCATGACACTCGTGTATGACGTACCTCTGTGAGTGTGTATTTTTCTGGCTTCCAAAAGGGAATATTGTGATTTGTGATTGGTAAAATGCCCATCCTGGATTTGGCAATTTTTCTGTGTCTTCATTAGGGGATTCCGTGATTCTACTTCTACCTGCCCCGTGCAAGTAGGCTGAGTGGTTTTAAAATGTGACTATATTTTCTTGTTCTCTCCTTTATTATACTGAAATTTTAGTTTAAGCTGACATGAACTCAGGCAATAATTGCATTCTATATTCCGCATAATAAATATTGCCAATACATTCTACTAGCTAGTATTACTTCTTTTAATCCTTTTTGGTGTGAGAGATTGACTATGATGGGTTTGAGGAGAGGTAGAGGTAGGCCGAAGAAGTATTGAGGAGAGGTGATTAGGTAGGACATGTCGCATCTTCAGCTTACCGAGGACATGAACCCTGATAGAAGGGTGTGGAGGTTGAAGATTAAGGTAGTAAGGTAGTAGGCAGTCGAGTTTCTTTTCTCTCATTTAAGTAGCAGTAGTGTTATTTGCGTATTTCCATATTCCTAGATTTCTATTACTACCCGGATGCTTTTCTTCTAGTTATTCTATTCTCTTGTTGGTATTACTACTACTTTGACTTTTTCACTATTGTATTATTCTCTCTATTTTGTTGTGATTGATTATGTATGCTCGCTTTGAGCGGAGGATCTATCGAAAATAGCTTTTCTGCTTGCACAAGGTAGGAGTAAGATTGCGTACACACTACTCTTCTCATATCCCACTTGTGGAATTATTTGGGGTATGTTGTTGTTGGTGGTGTTTTTCCGAGTAGTTGTCTTTCTTTCATATGGGCTCCCATATAGTACCATAGACGGAATCTGAAAGGAAATAGATATTCAGAAAAAGCTTTAATTTTGTGGAACAAAAATCATACTCTTTGAAACTTGGATTTTAGGCTAAACAAATTTTAAGAACTTATAAGGCTTGGATAAAAGTTAATTACTACTATTTTCCCTAATATAATATATTGTGCTATTACGTTTGAGCAATTTTTCGATGAACGCAGCAAAGATTATCTTAACATTGTAACCCCGATAATTATATTGATCTCTTAACATTGCATACAATATTATGTTAATCTCATCCCAAAGCTGATCTGACATTAAAGTCAGCTGTGGAGTAAGCCACCAACTTTGCATAGTTTATATGATCGATCTAGCTGACGTTTCCTTGTCTCCATTATTTATCCTCAAGCAATACAAAATAAAGAAGAATAGCTTAATCTTTGGGCAATGGCAGATCACTTATCAGAAAACCTCAAGATTTATACAATATATTCATTACATATGTATATATTTATAATTACATTGTAAAAAATATATCTCATATGTATATACACACCTTCAAACATGGAATGAAAATGTGAATTTACTTAGACTTTGTTTGATATAAGGCTGAATACATATCCAGCCCTTTAAACTTGTCCCTTTTTTTCATTTAGGCACTTGAACTAAACATTGTTCCTATTGAACACTTTATCTTGTTAGAAACTGTATCTACTAAATCCCTCACAAATAACCGACCCTAAAATCTAAACGCGTAAAGTATACACACGGATGACATGGAACAAAACCAATAAAGAAAAGGCACATCAGCAAAAAAAATTGAAAGAAGAAAAAACGTGGATCTTCTTCTTCTTATTCAGGGAATACAACCCACATAAAAATTACAGAAACTTCTATGGTAATAAATTTTGAGGCGACGATGCCACCAGTAAAGGCACTTGATGGAGCGGCATAAAAGGATCACAACCGACGACCTCCAGCCACACTATCGCTAATTAGCAACTCCGCCTCCGGCATCCACCACCCCTGTTTTGGCCTCCACTCGACACCACCTCCACCAACAACAAATTCTCCCTCTAGCACTGATCACATCCCATTCAAACTCGTCTTCTATATTTTTAAAAGTTGGGGCAATTTCAGAAGACCCAATTATCAAATTGCCACTTAGACATATCAAAAGTGAAGAAGAATCAATTATTAATGAGATCCTACTATCAAATAGTTTTCTTTCAATTCTCCAATTGGGTTACTGATCTTCCTACAAAAATGAATTTTTGGTATATCTAACTTGGTTCTTATTAGATTCCAATTTGGTTTGAATGTGAAATATTGTTGAAATTGAATCCATGTGGCTTCCCCAATTCAACCTACACATTTGCATAATAAATTTTTCTGCTTTTGTCCTTTTCACTTTTTGCTTCTATGTTTTTTATTTTCTGGTATATGATGAATAAAAATGGTGATGGTGGAGTTGGACGGTAGTTTCCATTGTTGGTAGACAGTGGCCTTTTTGGTGGTTCAAAAAAAATGAGAATAATGACTATAATAGTGGAGGTGGGCAAGATGGTGTTGGAGCTAGTGTTATGCAAGCGAAGGGATGGCAGCAGATTGGAGATGGTGGAAGGAGAAAGAGAAACAGAACTTCACGCTCTCAAAGGAGGTGAATTACACTCACTTTGACATGTCAGCAACTTGTGTCTAATTTATATTTTTAATTGAGTTCAGGTGTTCAATTGGAACAAGGTTTAGTTCAAGTGTCTAAATGGAAAAAAAGGACAAGTTTAAGGGGCTGGATATGTATTCAGCCTTGATATAATAATGAAAAAGGGGATCCTAAGGGGGGGAACTTGAATAAAAATGGCAAGTATATATTAATGATGGGAGAGAAATAGGGACAAATTAATATGGTTCAAAATTAAATCCTTAAATTGTGGACTATGTTTAAAAATTTGAAGAGTACTAAACGTACATGATTTTGACAAAATGCTGTAATTGTAATTTGTAAATGAATGTGCTCTTTTTGGAATAAAACAAAAATAATGATCTTTATTAAAATATTATTATATAAGTAACTCACAACGTAAAAACCCTACAATTAATAATTATTTTGGTCTTCGGCCCACAAAAAAGGGATGTATACAATGTCCTCATTGTAGGCCTTAAGCTGGGATTGAGTTTCGGTTTCTCTGAGCCCAAGGCAGGAAATCCATCAGTTCTGTAGCTTTATGAGTCACTTCTTTGCAAGAGAGTACCATTTTTTTTTTGTAATTTTTTTTCTTTATGAAATGCTAGTTCGGAAGATATTTACTATATTATAATAGTAGAGTGGACATGAAGGTAAAGTTAATACGGTGAAATCACTAAGGAGTGGGTGGAACCATGCCGTTGTTGTTTGACCAAAAAGATATAATCCTTGGTTCAAATAATTAAATTTATGTAATAAAGGGTTAAACTTAGTTAACAATAATATTTCTAGATGTGAGTTTCGAAAATATGAATAACATTAGGTAGATCTGGTGGAAGAATGATAGCAACATGCAATAACTATTCCAAAATGTATGAGCAATAATGTAGCATTTAATAGCAAATAACAATAATAAATGGCATTCAAGTAAATAGGGGAAGTGATTCACCCAATAAATGATGAATTAGACGTTTACTTCTTCTGACAATGATGAGTGACAGATGAGTTCTTGAATGTTCGAACCCCTCTTGGATCAGGTGAAAAAGTATGGAATAATTTGGACAATGATCTTGATAAAAAGGTAAAGCTTGTTTCTTAGTAAGAGAGAAAGAGAATATTTTGTCAAAAGTCGGTTCTTACAAACGAATCTCACGTGCCCCCCCCCCCCCCCCTTTTTTGGCCCCTCTTTTTATATATATGAGACACATTTCTAACAAACTCTAAGGGTGTGTTTGATATGAAGGAAAACGATTTTCGGAAAATGTTTTCCAATTTTCCCATGTTTGGTTGGCTTAAATATTTTGGAAACATTTTCCTTATGAACTCATTTTCCTCCAATTGGAGAAAAATATTTTCCTTATCAAGAGAAGAGAAAACATTTTCCATAACTCTTTCTCAACTTTCCCGACCCTCACCAACCCACCCCACCCCCTCTCCAAAAAAGGTTTTTTTTTTTTCAAATTTCAGTTTTTCCGTTACCACCCACCCTACTACCCCTTCACCCCACCCCTACCCCCATCCCCCCATGAAAAAAAATTATTTTTTTTCCTTAATTTTTTTTTGCAATTTCAAATTTCTATTTTTCGTTTTCTGCACCACCCACCCAACCCCCCCCCCCCCCACCCACCTGCACAAATTTTTTTTTTTTACTTTTTTTTTTTGTAATTTAAATTTCTATTTTTTTTCGTTTCACTGCCTCCCCCCTTTCCCCCCGATTTTTCTTTCTTTCTTTTTTAATTATGTTTTTCAGTTTTAATTTTTTAATTTATCAGTTTACAGGTTCAAAATTTTACATGTTCCAAAATTATGAGTTCGGAGGTTTATGTGTTTAGAAGTTTACGGGTTTAGAAATTATAAAGTTTAGGGTTCGAAATTCCGCGGTTTTGAAAGTTTAGCGTTTCGAAAGTTTATGAAATTTGTGGGTTCGGAAGGTTGTTGGTTTGAAATTAATGGCTTCATGTTTATTATATCTAAATTATTTATGAATACTCTTGAGTAGTTATTTTTCTTAATTTGCGTACCAAACACCGGAAAATGAATAAGATTACTACTTATTTTTCAAGAAAATTTTCCACGGAAAATATTTTCCGTTATGCCAAACACACTCTAATAGTACAAATCACAGAGAATATTCGCTAGAATATTCCCTCTAGTATCTTATTTCGAAAACTAGTCGTTACAGCTTCGTTAGTGATGTTCGACCTCGAACATCTATCGCATCTCGACCACGGCCCCCGTCGACTCTTCCGTTATGAGTATTTCTGCTTTTTGGATCTCCTAGGCTAATGACGACTCGAGAATTCTTCCTTATGGGTAATCTCTTTTCAAATATTATTAGGCGGATTCTGACCCATACAGTTAGTCCCTCCGCTTATTGTGGCCGGCCTCTGGTGGTTTTGATGAGCGGATTCTGTTCGTCGTGGTCGAGACAATTTGACGGGTGGGTCAGGACGTGATGTTTGAGGCAAACTGGCGACGTGGCCTTTCATGAACCGCAACTTTTGGAGTTACGTTGTTTCTTGATCAAAGTGACATCATGACGTCATACGTCATTATGGT